CCAATCTTCCTCAGCAAAAAGAGGAGGATTGGCAACAGATGTTAGCTCAGGGCTAATCTTCCTCACACACACACAAAAAATATTAATCTGAGTCCTGGAGGAGAAGTTGGATTTGGAGAGGTAGACACAAATGGGAATGCGTTTTAGTTGATGAATATGGGATGGACGAAGGCAGAGAGTAAGAATGAGGTGTGAAGATGTGTTTGCAGAATGATAATTTTAAGAGCCATTGAGGGTGTCTGTGTGCCAAGCACCATTCCTAGTGCTTTGCATATATTAACTAACAACCATATGAGCTAGATACAGTTATTAACTCCATTTTGTAAAAGAGGAAGCTGAGAGAGTAAGAGAATAAATAAATTGCCCAAGGTCATATAACTTTTTAGGGGTAAACTGGGTATCCAACCCAGGCAACCTGACACCAGAGACTTAATAGTTGTTCTAGACCTGTGCTGTCTCATCTGTAGCCACTAGCCACACATGTGCTGTTGAGCTCTTGAAATGTGGCTAGTCCAAACTGAGATGTGCTCTGAGTATAAAATACACATCAGATTTTGAAGACTTAGTATAAAAAAAAAAAACAGTGTGAAATATCTCATGAATAATTTAACATTGATTGCATATTGAAATAATATTTTGGCTATTTTATGTTAAGTAAAATATTAAAATTAATTTCACCTGTTTCTACTTTTTAAATGTGGCTACTAGGAAATTTAAAATTGCATAGTGGCTTGCTTTATATTTTTATTGGATAGTGCTGCTAAAGACTGCTCACCAGTGAGGAGTCTCACTGGAGTGCAAAAATGGAAAGAAGAGTGATGTCAGGCAAAGGAAAACAGGATATTTAAGATCAGATTAGACTGGCATTGAAGTTATCCTTGAAGCTAGAGTTCCTCAGAGCATGTGATCCATAGATGATCTGCCTTGGATTTGCGAGTTGGGGCCAACCCTGAAACCAGTCGTCCTTAATTCACTATTTTAATCTCTTCCATGCAGAGATTTTAAGGACACCTAGGGATGGAAACCTGCAGAAAAGGCTGTAACTCTGGTTTTAAAAGGCAATGAATGTGAATGCCGTTTTCTTAATTTTCTGATCAATTTTGTTGAATTGACTTCAGCAAAATAAAGGTCACAGGCGGTTGATAACAGTGTCATTTAAAGAATTGCTTCTTGAAGATTGGGTAGTTCCTACTTATTTATTTAATAAATGGGAAAAAAAACACTTAAAATTACCTTATAATTTATAGTCTAGCCTTTGACTGAAATGAGTGCCACTTAGCTCGTTAAGCAAATTAGGTAAATGCCAGTGGCTGTGTGATCTGGTGATTTGTGGGGTGTTTGGAATTTTTACACTGGACCCTGACCACCCTAAAGAAGTTGTCTTTGTTCTAAATGCACTTTGTTAAACTGATGTACGTCCTCAGTTATAGCAGAGCTTGGGACTTTCAAATTACCTTGGCCTATGGGAGATTTTGGTCTCTTCATTCTGAGACAATTTGGTGAAGTATTTTTAGCTTTTCTTCATAGTAATTGATAATAAAAAGTAAATTAGTCTTATTTTGTCATGAGTACATAGAATTTATAGACCTTAAGGTCTTATAGTAGTGTTCCATATTGACATTAAACGGTGCACAGTTCTCAAATATATGTTAAACACATTGCTTTGGTTATGCACAACCTTGATCAATTATCAATTAAAAAACACTGATAATGATATTGATTGAAAAACACCATCCTTCATAGAAAAGTTACCGGAAGGGGCTGGCCCAGTAGCATAGTGGTTAAGTTCATGTGCTCTGCTTCAGTGGCCTGGGGTTGGTGGGTTCGGATCCTGAATGAGAGCCTATACACCGCTCATTAAGCCATGCTGTGGCGCCATCCCACATACAAAATAGAGGAAGATTGCCACAGATGTTAGCTCAGGGCCAATCTTCCTCAAGCAAAAAAAAGAAAGTTACCAGAAGGAATGAATATTAGACATTCATCAGCTATTTTTTTAATATAAACTTTTTTTTCATAGTTTGAAGGCATAAGAAATAACCTTGGTAAAGTGCTGAGATTCCAACTCTTTTTAACAGCTGACAATAGCTGTCAAAGAGCAACCTGCAAAACAGTATCAAATGATTTTCAACAGAAGTCAAGAGGCTGCAAAAATTACATCACTGTTACTTAGTAGAAATAGCCACAAGGGTAGAGCTCAGTTTGCAAATGTTTCTCTCTTTTTTAAAAAATATTTCTCATTTCTAAGTTGACTAGAGTTTGGAATGCTTTTTCTTATTATATTATAAATAGACTTAGGATTCTAGACCAATCTTCAAAAACATCTTTAACCAACCTGAGTAATAGTTCTGTTTCGCCTTCTTTTAACCTCTGTCTGTACCATGATTTCTTTGGAAAATGTATTCCTGTGATAGTGGAAGAAGCCTGATTAAATTCTCTTTCCCTCTTTAATAGAAGCTCCCCAGTCAGGGGCCTTGAGAAATGGGTAAACCGTCATGAACACAAATATCTTGTATAAAGAAAATATTTCTCAAGGTCTTTCTCTTCCTGAATGTTTTGAGTTGTGACATAAAGAGATATTGGGTCTCTGCAGGGGCAGGAAATCCAGATTGCTGCTGTCTTCTGTTTGATGCTATGAGTCATTTGTGAATTGAGTCAGGTACTTTTTATACCAATATGAAAGAGAAACAACACATTTTTTTTACAGTTTTGTACAGCATTCAATGGAAGGCTTGTTTGCTTTTGTGTGTCCAGCACTTAACACAGTGCCCAACACATAAAAGATGCTGTGTTTGTTGAATGAATGAATGAATGATTAGCTGACCTTCATGAAGCTCTTTAAATTCCACATGGTCTTTCTGAGATTGTGGTAATTTGATAAATACGTTATTTTTGCAGCAGTTTTAAAATTGAATCGTGAACTTTAGAGTAATAAGCTTGTCTAGGTACTTTGCTTTCTTGTATAAGAGATGGTGCATTTTCTAAAAGTTTAAATGGGATGGCCTAATTGCCATCAGCCCCCAGTAAGGCGGTTGTTTTTGGCGCATTGGAAAAATTAGCAGAAAAAAGAGATTGCCTAACTGAATTAGCTTGCCAAAGAACAAACTGTAATTTTCCAAGTTACAAAACAATCTCCAAATCTCAATATCAAGGGGATGTTTCTATTTTAAAATGATAAGTATTCTCTTTTGGCCTTAACTGTAAGCCCCACTGTTTCCCAATCTTATCCTCCTTCATAATCCTTCGGAGGAGTAAGTACAGCAGAATACTTGGGAGTGTGGGCTTTGGAACTCAGGCCGACCTGAATTCAAACCCCACTCCCCACTTAATCCTTTGACATTGGTCAAGCTATGTAAACTCAGCAGTCTGTTTTTCTTATTGTAAAGGGGGATTATAAAGGGTCCTTGTCACACTTAAGTGAATTAATGTCTGTAAAGCACTTAGGCAGATAGAAATGCTGGATACATGTTAGCTGTTGTTATGTGATAACTCCCATATGTGCATCACATCTTTTTGCCTCTTTGCCTTTGCCCACGTTGACCTTTTTTTCAAGTATATTTGAAGTTCAAGTTGTTGCCACTTTTTAGTTTCAGATGCCTCCTCACTGTATTTTTTCATCTCTCTCACTGTCTCATCGAGTTTGCACAGTAGGTGATCCCAGCACCCACCCTGTATTATCGTCACATGTCTGTCTCTCCTACATGAGATCACAAGCTGTTTAAGGACAGGAGTATGTTTGTGTTTTTCTCCGTTCCCGCTACAGGGTTTGGCACATGGTATTTAACAGGGAGGGCATTTGTTAAATTGCTTAATTGATGTGTATATGGAAATCTTCTATAAGTTGTGCAGTGTTAATCAAATGGTAGTACTAGTTCAGGACTTTATATATATACCTAGCAATATTTTATTTATATTTTGTAGTATTTTAATGGCTAAATCTTGGTGACAAGCGTTGAGAACTTACTATGTCAGGCACCGAGGACTTTGGTATGCTATCTGATTTAAATCCTTGCAACAACCCTACTAGGTGGAGGTACTATTGTTTTCCATGCTTTTATGATAAGAGAACTAAAGCTTAAAGGTATGGGGTCACTTGTTCTAGATCACAGAGCTGGTAAGTGCTGGATCCAGGATATGAACCTGGGTAATCTGATTCTGGGGCCTAAACTTATAATTATGCAACTTTCTGCTCTGTTCACATTTTATTTGAACTTTATCTGTTTTTTAATTTAATTTGAGGTAATATATATGAAGTATCTAATGTTTATCTCAGAGTAGTTGCTCAAAAAATGATAGTTTTATTCCTTCTCTTCTGATGTGATATCGTAAGAGATAAATTCAAAGATAATTATATAAAAACAAGTAACAGGGGAGGTGTAAGGGATCTTACTCTCCAAACCTATCTGGGAGTTTTAATTCCTTGTTGCAGTGTTTGTTGAATGTCTTATTTTAATCTGAGAGAATGTTCTCCTGTGTAAGAAGTCAGAGTATCAGAAAAGGATGGAGAATAGTAGATCTGTCTTGTTTTAAAATTCAGTTTTCTTTTTCATTGATAACCTTGTTTTATTAGAAAACAATTCACTTTTTAAGGCATCTATGTGAAATTTTAGGTGCGTTTTTTTGTCACTATGTATATTTGTCTAATGTCTTAAGTAACAAATATTTGTCATTTTAAGATTTTTTTAAAGTCACCTTTGCAGTTTGATTTAAATGTGGATAAACTCGATGTCCAGTATCTTAAGATCCAGGTAATTTGTACAATTTTACTGTTACATAGACTCGGAAATTCAGGTCAGATGTTTCCTGAATATTATTAAATATAGCAAAATCCTGATATAGTATAGTGTACCATTGTTTTCTTCCTTAATATCAACATTATATAATATATATTTATATAATACTTAGTATATATCAGTGTTCTGATATGTTTAGAGAAAATGTTTTTAAAATATTCTAAGCTCTTTGTTTCATGTAAATGCTTTTCATCTTTTTTAAAATAGGTAAATCAACAAACTGGGAAGATGATGGTTGGGGAGCATGGGAAGAAACGGAACCCCAAGAACCTGTAAGTCTTTCTAAATGTATGCATGCCTTTTGATAGTGGCATTTTCCTTTTGTAATGATGTTGACGTATTTCAACATTAAAATCTTTGTCAAGAACATTTTTGTGCTTACTTATAGTACTTAAGTAGGTACGTGTTCTTAAAGATTTAGTGGCTTTATAGCTCAGTGGGCTAAATGGAGAATAGTTATTTTAGGATTCTTTTTCCTTCATTAGTTATTCTTTTAGACTTTTTCACTTATTCATTCAACATATATTTCTTTTTTTTTTTTTTTTTTTTTTTTTTTTTTTTTTTTTTTTTCCCCAAAGCCCCAGTAGATAGTTGTATGTCATAGCTGCACATCCTTCCAGTTGCTGTATGTGGGACGCGGCCTCAACATGGCTGGAGAAGCGGTGCGTCAGTGCGCGCCCGGGATCTGAACCCGGGCAGCCAGCAGCGGAGTGCGTGCGCTTAACCACTAAGCCACAGGGCCGGCCCATCAACATATATTTCTTAAGTGCCCACATATCCTAGGCGTTTTTTCTAGGTGCTGGGAATACACAGCAATGAGCAAGAGAGACAAAGTGCCTGTACGTGTTAGTGTATTTTCACCTCTGAGTAATAGAAAATCTAACCTAAACTGGCTTAAATAACAAGGACATTCATTAGCTCACAAGAAGGAAGTCAAAGATAGTGTGGACTCCTGGGTTGGTTGATCATGCGATTCAACTGTTTCATCAAGGACTCCAGTTCTTTCCTTCTGTTTACTCTGCATACACGGTGTTGACTTCATCCTAAAGCTTGTTCCTCTGACAAATGTGGTGTGGCAGCCTTTTTTCTTCATTTCATCACCAGAGGGAGAAAAAGACTGAGGCTTTCCATGACTCTTTTAGGAGTGGGGAACAACTTTCACAGAAGCCTCTAGCAAACCTTGCCTTATATTTTCTCGGCCAGAATTGGGCCAGATACTCATTTCCAAACTAGTCATTGGCAAAGGATATGAGATTTCCCTTGGTCAATTATACCATTCCCTGGAGTTGAAGGATAAAATGGGCAGCTTCTCATGAGGCCCGTGGCTGCACAGGGGAGGAGTTGATACCTGAACAAAATCAAGATTTTTTGGGAGGATGAGGAAGAGTAGCCCTGAGCAAACATCTGTTGCCCATCTTCCTCTTTTTGCTGAGGAAGATTAGCCCTGAGCTAGCATCTGTGCCAGTCTTCCTCTCCTTCGTATGTGGGTCGCCACCACAGCATGGCCGACAAGTGGTGTAGGTCCGTGCCCAGAATCCGAACCCGAAAACACGGGCCGCCAAAGCGGAGCACGTGAACTTAACCACTATGCCACAGGGGCAACCCCCACAATCGAGATTTTTTATGAAGAAAGAATGAACATATATAGTGGATAGATTTTCACATCCCTGTTCCCAGCAGCTTACACTCTAATGGGGAGAAATAATTTTTTTTTAAATGACAGATGAAAAGTATCAGACGGTGGTAATAGTTAACACGGAGAATTCAAATGGTGATGTGATAGCAAGTGATCAAGTGACTGTTGAAGATTGAGTGGTCTAGGAAGGCTTTTCAGAGGATGTAATATTTAAGCTCAGGTCTGAAAGACAATAGGGAGTCAGCGAGGTGAAGATCTGGCGAAGATCATTGCAAGCCAGGGCAGCAGCTCATGGAATGGGCTTGGAGTTTGAAGGAACATAAAGAAGGCCAGTATGGCTTGGCAGGACTGGGACAGCTACAAGATGGGTTTAGAGAAGTAAGCAGGCCTGATCTAAGGCTTTGTGAATTTGGAGCTTATTCTAAGTGCAATAGGAAACCACACTTACCTGATTTCTCATTTTTAAAGTCTGTGTTGGCTGCTGTTTGGAATAGGTTGAAGTAAGGAGCAAAAGTAGAAGCAGGGAGACCCATTAGGAGGCTCTTGTAGTAGTTTAGTTGAGAAACGATGGTGGCTTGCATTAAGTTGGAATTAGTGAAAATGAGAAGTTGATGGATTCAGGATAAGTTTAGAGATAATGTTAAAACTTTCCTGTGAGTTAGTTGTGAGGGATGAGGAGAAAAAGAAAAATTCACAAATGATCTGGAGTGTAGTGTGGAATAGATAAAAACATAATTGATAAGATGTTGATATTCCCTAAAGCTGAGTAATAGGTCCCATTCTCTTTATTTTTGTCGGTGTTTTAAAATATCCATAATATGGGCCGGCCCTGTGGCTTGGTGGTTAAGTGCGCGCGCTGCGATGCTGGCGGCCCGGGTTCGGATCCCGGGTGCGCATCGAGGCACCACTTCTCCGTTCATCCTGAGGCCGAGTCCCACATACAGCAACTAGAAGGATGTGCAGCTACGACAAACAACTATCCACTGGAGCTTTGGGGGGGGGAAAAATAAAATAAATAAAAAAATCTTTAAAAAAAAAAAAAATAAATAAAATAAAATAAAATATCCATAATAAAAAGTTTTTTTTAAAAAACCCTCCCAGCTATTTGGCTTGAGCAAGTGGGTGGGTGGTGTGTCATTTACTGAGTTGGGGAAGACTGAAAGAATAGGTCTGGAGGAGAATGAAAGAGCACTGTGTTATAAAAAGCAGAGCGTGCTAATAGAATAGAGATTTATGGAGAAGCTCCAAGCCGGGATTAAGAACAGGAAACCATTTCAGAAGACCTCAAGGAGAATGGGGGTGTGTTGGCTAGGATGTAATGCAGCTCAAGGAACTTGGTTATCCTGTCACCTCAGCAAACAAATACCCGTCCCTTGCTACTCTAGTGCTGTGTCAACGAGGAGACCCACCTCTACTCTGCCTGTGTTTTTACTAAGACTGACTGGCTTCTGCTTACTCATGATTTAGACTGTTTCATGGATTTACTTACGTCTTTTGTTTGTGATTGTCTTTGATTCTTTCACCTCTTTGTCTCACACTCAGAGCTCATACGAGGATTTTGCTGAGTCTGTTTATCACCATCCAATATAGGATATTTGTAAGAGGGGACATAGTATTTATACCAGACCACTTCATGGGACATCCGCCAGCCCATTAATGCTGCCCTCTGGTCAGGCGTCCGTCAGCAGTCTAGTTAGCTATGGCAAGAATGAGGAGGGGAGGGAAGGGAGAGGAGGGGTGTGTGTAAAAAAAGGTTGGAGACCCTGCATGACTCTACGTAAGCAAACCTCTTGGGAGGGGATGTGCTTTGAAAATTTCTCAGACGGGGTAGTGTAACTGGCAGCTACCTTGTGTGTGGTGTTGGGTACAGTTACTCTTAGTATTTGTTTTCTAGAATCATATAGCTAAGTAACTATTTTGAGTCATACAACAAGGTCCCAAGTAAGTTTGAGGTTTTCTGGAATAAACCTCACAGACGTTGCATGTTAAAGGGGACATGTGCATTCATAATCTCAGAGGAGGTTCCTCTAGGGAGGTTCGTCTGGTTCTTCTGGGACCTCCTCTGATAGACAGGTATTATTAAATGTATAAAATAGTGCTGGTGCTGAGTTATGGTATTTATTTACAGACCCAGAAGCCCGCATCTTAGAGAATCCACTGGTACATAGTTAGTTCTTTCGGGAATGGATTTTTACTTGTGAATGATGTAGTTTGGGATCTGTGTATGAGGCTAGTTTTCCTTACAAATATCTGCTACATCTTTCCTGATAGCATTAAGGGGGTTAGTTTACTGAGGATGTGTCGTAGACCTGCTTTTTGGCTCATCTAACAATGCGCCTTCCTTAAGCGTACACTCCCCTGTGGCGTTATAACCTAACGTGGTAGAAATGACTGCCATGACACGCTGGTGTCTGAGAAGCAAGCAGGCCTGAAGTAAGACTTTGTGAATTTGGAGTCTATTCTAAATGTGATCAGAAACCATGCTATATGACTTCTGGTTTTTAAAATTCACTGAGCTGCTCTGTGGAAGAGGTTGTAGTAAGCCCTTTTATTAGCTATGCCTGTCATTCTCATAAAGGTCTTGGGCTGGTTTATTTTAGTTCATTTTGATGTTCCACTGTTCCAGCTGATTCTGAGTGATGTGGACAAAGACAGATTGGTTAGAAAGTGTAAGTGTGTATGGACTTCCTTGAAATCTGACCTGTAAAGTATGTCATCTTCTCTTTATTGGCGAGGATATCCTAAATCTAGGGATGTCTTCTCACTGTTTCAGTTAAAAACTGAAATATAATTCTACTCATTCCAAAAACACATAAAATTACTTGCGTGTAGAACATGTCTTCATCTGGATAAAATTGGAGTATTTACAACTGGCCCTCATGGTGACGGTGTCTTGTTTTCTTTCTCTTGATAGATTTGCTCACACTGTGGACTTGACAAACATGGCAAGTGAAACAGTATTGTTAGGCCCCACTGACAGCAATTTTGGGTGCACCAGTCATTCCTAACTGTTTTTATTATCCCCCTTTGAACCCTTGTGCCTTGTCATGGTCTTATGTTCATGGTGAGGAAGAAGATACTTGGATGACAACAGGAGTGGACCAGGACAGTGATGTTCAGGAGTTATCTGGATGTTCAAGTTATCCTGCTATGTTTAAGAGAGCTTCTTTGAATTTGGATCCTGTCCTCAAAACAAGACAACATCTTTGCCAAGGGAGACTGTTGAGTGAGAACAGAAATGGCAGTATGGCCAGGGTAAAGGATATGACGTCTGTCTTACACTGCAGCATCATCCAGAACTTTCCATGTATAACATCATTATGAGGTTTTGCTGAGCAAAATGTTTTATGCCAGGACTATTAGAAATTTTGTTCAGCTACAGTAAGAGACTTCTGTTATTTCTATTACTGTCTGTGATTCTGAACAACTCCAAAGGCATAGCCAGCTCCAGAGGCATGACAAGAATCAGAGTAAATTTTGGCAGATGTGTGAAATAGTAGTCTATGCTCTAGTAAAGGTAACAGATGTAGCCACCTAGTCAGAATGGAAAGGGAACTTTCTCTTCTCTCTTGTTAGGAACAGATAGCAAACTCAAAACCCACCTTCCCTGAGAGTCTCACTGGCAGGTCTTGTCCA